TGTTGGACATTTGGCATGCGTCTTATCGCAAAACTTTCACCACTCCGACATCATCGTCAAATAAAAATGATTAACGGTTTATTTTTGTATTTAACTGTGGAGATCTGACACAAAACGTTACTTGAAGAATCTCGAACTTGCATTTCCTGTACGGCTACTAAAATGTTAATCTGCAAAGTCCCATCTGAGCTTCCCTCTGTCACTCTTGGACCCATGTCAATTCTTTTGTCCCAGTTGAGTTATGGTAATCAAGAACAAACTGAGGATTTTTCTTTTCCTCACCCAGCAGTTAAAGGCACAATGAGTTCTCTGCATACTGAGCTCTCAGGAAGGGGAAACCTCTGGTGCCTGACACAGATTTATTTCCAGGACAATGTTCTGTCCGATTTCTTTCAGACACAAAAACAGATGACCCATGGAAATTGAGATGGCCGACAGCTAGATACGTATTTAGAAGGCTATTTGCTAACCTGGGAATTGACCAGGAAAATTGCAAATTTTAGCCAAAACATTATTAAGCCAGAAAAATAGTTGAGCTACGAAATTTTCCAATTTCTCTTTTTTAACCAAGGGAGGAGTCAAAGGCCAAAGAACATAATGGTTGGTCCATTATAATATGGTCAATTGAATGCAAATACAGAAATAGGTCGCATCTAATGTCAGAGTAAGAAAATCAGTAAGCAAATATTCTATCTATTCTACCTTATTCTATATTCTATAATTACCATGGCTACAGGATGAAGGAACACCTAGCCAAAAGGATAGCATGGGGGAATAAAAAACTTAAACGAGGTTAGTCATGCAAACTGTAACTAGTCAGACAAGAACAATGAACAAATTACTAAAACAAATTACTAAAAGCTACGATAACATAATAAATCCACTCCAGATTATAGTGTCAAGGCCAGACAACCCTACAGCACACCTCAGAGCAATGAGTATCCTATACTTAAGGAAGTAATGTATTACAGATCCTTCGGGTGGCCACGGCTTAACATATTAGAGGAGAGAATACTATCTACAGGTAACAGACGAGTAAACATTGACAAGCTGATGTCAAGGAGTACAGAGAATTGGAAGAATTGCTAAAAAGAGCCAAAAATCAGTGATTCCATAGGTGAGAATAGTGAGATAACAAAACTGAGTCAAAAAAATATTTTCACACCACAAGCCAAAACACACTCTTGGTTAACAGAGAGCACGACAGGACAAAGAGGAGTGGTCAGTCCAGTGGCTGAACTAAAGTAGAAGGCCCTGGTGCAAGAAATGTTTTGTACCTCATATCGCAAGCATGGCCAAAAGGTAGATCCTCATCTGCCGTACAACTCTCACAATGCTTTGCCACCTGGAGGTCTACCATTTGCCTATCCTTTCAGGGTTGTATTTAGCATTGAGCAGTGTTTGTTTGTTTGAATGTAAGCATATTTTTGTATGGAGTATTTGTGTGTGAATGTGGGGGTATATTTGTGTGTAGTGTTGTGTTTTTATGTACTGTTGCCATTTGAAAACAGTGGTTTAATTGTGTGTAGCGTTTGAATGGAGGTGGGTGTCTGTATGTAGTGTTGAAGTTAGAAAGCAGGAGTGCATTTGTATGTGTGCCACACACATGCAGATACAAATATAACAAGTACAGGTTGCGCCTAAAATTATGTGATAAAGAACTTCCAGTGTAGGTGGCATTACCACCACCGAGGGTAATATACTGCAGTCTTCAGTAGGATGTTGCATACAGTGCCAGGAACAGAATTAAATATATATTAATAAAAGTGGCAATGAAACATGTATAAATGGCCAGGACCCTGTTTGGGTAAGTGCCTCGGGAGTATGTAAGTGTGTTACCCTCTGCAGCAAGCAAAGAATTAGGAAGGGCAAGAGCAAATGGTAAACAGAATAGTCTTTGGGCGTTGTGAGCTTATGGAAAGATTCAATTTTACTGTATTTGTAAAATATAGGTTAAAGGGACACTATAGTCACCTGAACAACTTTAGCTTAATGAAGCCGTTTTGGTGTATAGAACATGCCCCTGCAGCCTCACTGCTCAATCCTCTGCCATTTAGGAGTTAAATCCCTTTGTTTATGAACCCTAGTCACACCTCCCTGCATGTGACTTGCACAGCCTTCCATAAACACTTCCTGTAAAGAGAGCCCTATTTAGGCTTTCTTTATTGCAAGTTCTGTTTAATTAAGATTTTCTTATCCCCTGCTATGTTAATAGCTTGCTAGACCCTGCAAGAGCCTCCTGTATGTGATTAAAGTTCAATTTAGAGATTGAGATACAATTATTTAAGGTAAATTACATCTGTTTGAAAGGGAAATCAGTTTTTTTTCATGCAGGCTCTGTCAATCATAGCCAGGGGAGGTGTGGCTAGGGCTGCATAAACAGAAACAAAGTGATTTAACTCCTAACTGACAGTGAATTGAGCAGTGAAATTGCAGGGGAATGATCTATACACTAAAACAGCTTTATTTAGGTGACTATAGTGTTCCTTTAACTATGTGCCCTTCACAGCAGCCATAATTAGTTTTTTCTGTCAATAGAAACTTGGAATCAGACAATAGTAACCCAAGATACATAGTTTGATGCCCATGGCAACTTTTGGAAGTGATGCAGCTAATCTGAGCTGATCATTTCAGTAATGCCATGAATTTTAATATTCTTTCCCTTACTCCTATCTCCTAGCATGTCCGGTTTTAGAGCAAGGACTCTGTTGAGTGACCAAAGCTGTAGGATACATTCTGTTATGGAGGCCACACCTTGATTCAAGTCCACCATATCCTTTTCACAGGCTTTCATTCTACCTGTCATGTATGTACGTAGTGGGGAATTACGATGCAACATAAACATAACTAACCCCATTCAACCCCCCAATAACGACAGACAACTTAGTATGGATGAACAGGCCACAGCATTTATTATAACATAAATAAATTACTGCATAACACATCCATAACTTTATTTATTAAACTCTTGCTCCAGGGGAAGGTAGGCTGGGCTCCTGAGGGACGCCAGGATCGCTTCAATATCCATCCCTCAAGCTGTGAAGACTACAGGCCCAGGCAAACAGGAGCAGGAGGACAGGAAGCTGTTTGCTGGCACGAATCCCAAGTGGCACTGAGGTAAGACCTCCCCGCTACTAGCTCACATAGCCCAAACCCCACACAAACACACACACACTTCCCAAGACACTCCCACGCATCTATCCCCACACTCCTACATGTGCCCTTGTCCACTTAGCTGTGCTATCTCTCCAGGGTCTGATAATGGATTGCACCCTCAGGGCACGAGCATGTTTTCCTGGCGCTATAGTGGTCCTTTAAGCTCCACTGTTAGTTTAGATTTTGGGCTGCAAAGGAGCATGTTTCCTTTGTCTGATTTATCAATCCTTGTGTAAGCCTGTAGTTTGTGGGACATGTCTACAGATTGTATAAAGAATATCATTATGTGAACAGTGAGATATTCTTGTGGGTGAACCAACCTGATAGAAACAAAAGTCCCTTGTGAGTGGGCAAAAGTAGGCCATAAGCCTGTGACACAGCATTCAACATCAATTCAGGTAAAGAAGGGCACTGTTTATAATTGGTAGGATTGTCAGATCTGTATGAGTTTCATGTAAAATCAGATTTTGCTAAGTACACAGACCTTGCGGTGTTTAATAAACCGTTTTTTTTTATCACATAAGGCAGTGACACTTTGTGGAATGTGTGGCGCACGTGAACCTTTATTGTAATATATTGTATAGGTAAATATTTTTCCAGGGTGTTATTTAAGGCACATGCCTTTTCACTGAAATGCACTGTGTGGATCAGTATCAATCATTGCAAGCTTTCACTGAAAAAGAAAATATGAAGAAAAACCACACACGACAATGATACAAAAGGTTGTTTACTTTAAATAGGAAATGTCACTTGTGAAACATTTCTATAAATCAATAGTAAACTAAAAATGTAACTTTTTTTTTGTACACG